GCCTGCCCTTCCCTCCCAAGTGCTGGGATATACCACCATAGTGGCTTAGACCTGTTCTTTCTCCCGCTGAGCCTACTTAAGACTTCTGCATTTACCCTACCAGTATGCTTACTCTTCCCACCCACAGCTAAGTTGAATAGCCTCTTTTCCCTATTTCAAAAGATGATTTAAAGTGTTAAAAACTTCATCTTGCTTAGTAAAGAGCAAATTTTCCTTAAACTTTAAAATCCACATTTATTTTATCACACATTCTACCTTGTAGCCCCTTGATTATAGGTTGTTGTTTTTTTTCCAGAAAGAATGTTTTGATTGAACATGGCTAATCCCAAAGTATCTCATCTATCAAAAAAAAAAAAAAAAAAAAAAAAGTGCTTATCAAGCATGAGGACCTAAAGTCAATCCCCAAAACCCACCCCCCAAAACAGACAAAACCCAACCAGCACCAAACAAACCAAATCTGAGCATGCTAGCCCCACAAGATCCCATAGAGAGATCCTATTCTCAAACAAGGTGGAAAGTAAGAAATGAAACCCAAGACTGTCCTGACTTCCACACGTGTGCTGGGGCACAGGCACACCCATACAGTCACAAATACTGCAAACATACACACACACACACACACACACACACACACACACACACACACGTGCACACGTGCACACATCTGCATGAATGCATATAGCATACATATGCAACACACACAAAACTCTTGATATTAATAGACAACTACATACTTTCCTCAGTTTTCTTGAGAAGGGAAATCAAGGTAACCAAAAGAAAAACATTAATTCCAAAAGTCAAATTCTAAGCATAAACAAAGTAACTCTAAAATACTGAGAATATACCATTTTCAGGGGTCTTTAAAGATTACAAATAGTTTTGCAGTAGATCTAATAACCATCATTATTAGGAAAAAGTTACTACACATATAGCTTTATGTACTGCACAATGCTTTAAATGTGTTAACATTTGGTTTTCCACCTGCATTAGAAAGAATTAAGCCGGGCGGTGGTGGTGCACGCCTTTAATCCCAGCAATCGGGAAGCAGAGGCAGGTAGATCTCTGTGAGTTTGAGGCCAGCCTGGGCTACCAAGTGAGTTCTAGGAAAGGCGCAAAGCTACACAGAGAAACCCTGTCTCGAAAAACCAAAAAAAGAAAGAAAAATAAAAGAATTAAGACCAACTACAATACATTTCTGTTGCAAGGGCTATCTCCTACATCACAAGATATCAGTGGAAGGAAACATTAGCATTTCCGAAGGCTGTGAAATCTGAGCCGGACACAGAACATATTCTCCACATCATACTGTGGGCATCTCAAAGTACAGTGTACATTGTGTATGCACACTGTGTTACAAAAGCACCCAACCAGGTTTCCCTAAATGGAAATACACTGCAGAAACAAAGATTTACCATTTAATAGATAGTTCACCCCCGAGAACTCAAGTTCACAGCAATCCATTTCTCAACACTGCATTTACACGGGAAGTGAAAAGTAACATGATCACCTGTAAAACATCTCTGAAAGCACATCTATTTCAACAATTCTACACACACAGTCGCCTGATCGAGGAATCAAGGAAAGTATATATAAAACCCGTGGTCCTGGCTTATCACTGAAGTAGTACGGAACTTGTGCTTTCAGTTTATACTTTTTGAGGTGCTTGGAGATGAATCCGGGGTCTGTGCACACTAAGCAAACTGTCTACCAGTTAGCAAAACCCTCCCATGCTCGTTCATTTTTTTTAAAGAGCACTTGCCTTCTCCATTTCGTAAGAATTGTTTGTTTGTTTGTTTTTCAAGACAGGGTTTCTCTGTAGCTTTGGAGCCTGTCCTGGAACTCACTCTGTAGACTAGGCTGGCCTTGAACTCACAGAGATCCACCTGCCTCTGCCTCCGGAGTGCTGGGATTAAAGGTGTGTGCCACCACTGCCGGCTGGCTCATAGAAATCCTGTATTTATGTGACAGGAAACTGAAGTGCTACTATGTATTTTGGTACAAAAGTTAATTTGCATAGACACAACTATCAGCTATATGCAGATTTTATAAATCTCCTATTTTGTTACCAAGACGGTACTTGTTTTGCCAAAACTAATAATAGTAATCTTTCTTTTTTTCTCTTTACTTGTTGTTGTTGTTGTTTGTTTGTTTGTTTGTTTTGGTTTTTCAAGATAGGGTTTCTCTGTAAAACAGTCCTGGCTGTCCTCCAACTCACTCTGCAGACCAGGCTGGCCTCAAACTCACTGAGACCCAGCATGCGCCACCACCGCGAAGGAAAAGTTCATTTATTTGAATATGAAAGTGAGAAACACCAAAACACCACTACCAGCAAAGTCTTGCACTTTTTCAACAAACAACCAGCCTAAACTGGCCACTTTCTTCCATTAGAATCAGCTCCACACTGGGCAGTGGGATGCCAAATACTGAGTAAGCTATATCCCAATCTCAATTTCTTGCTACAGCAAAACTTGGTTTGAGAGAGAACTCGAAAAGCAATGATTTGCTTAAGAGAAAGGCGTGTTAAAAACCAAACCAGCCCACAAATAGGCTCCCTGGGCAACATGTAGGTACCTCTAACAGTCCCAAAGAACACCAGACAGAGTGTGTACTCTCAGTCTAGGTCCACTGGGTGCCTGCGATGATAGTGTCACTTCGGTAGACAAGACATGGACCGGACAGCACGAAAATGAATAAAATGTGGTCACTTGATGGAATACTACACATTTAAAGAAAAAAAACCTCTAGGCCGTTAGAGGTAAATCTGGAAAACTTACTGTAAAAGAAATGTACACTCTACAAAAATTATAGTTATTCATTCAAATAAAAACAAGTACATGTGCAAAGAAAACACCAACAATGGACTGAAAGAACATACACATTATGATTAATTCAAGGCAAACGTGGGTTTTAACCATGACTGAATAAAGGGAAAGGGGAAAAAGTCTCTCCTCAAAAACAGGAAAACTGCCACATCGGGGGCCAGAAAGAGGTCTGGGAGAGAAGAAAGCGCGCACGCCGGAAGGGCCGCCCCGCATCCGGGGTGAGGGAGGGCGCTCGGGAGGGGTTTGCCCGCCGGGGCCTCGGCGAACTTACAGGTTGATGGTGCGCTCCAGGGTGAGGGGCTTGGTCTGCTGGATGTACTTGTTGCCGAACTGGTTGACCCCCCGGGGCCAGCCCGTCTGCGAGCGATTCGGCGGCACCACAGACATGCTGAACAGCTCCGACACTGGCGACGTGCAGGAAGCGGGGGCCAGGGGAGACGCCCGCGGGGCGGACAGCGGTTATCTGCGTCCCGCTCAGCACCCGCCGCCCGCCATTAACAGTCGACAGCAAGAGGAGGCGAACGCACACCGGAAGTGAATGGCTCTGGCGGCAGGAAGTAGGGAGGCATTCCTCCGCGACTATTCAGCCAATTGCTAGCAAGACGGCGCAATATGTTGATCTTTTATTGGTTAATTTTGTATAGGTCCAGCCTCTTTATTTTTTGGTGCCTTCCCATTGGGTGATGCTGGGACTAAGGACTGGGGCATTTCGGGAACTGTAGTTTCTGGAGGGAAATAGCGTCCTGACTTCCTTGGCGTGGGTCTGTGCTTGGTGAGGAGATGAACGGGAAGCGGCCCGCCGATCCGGGCCCCGCGCGGCCAATGAAGAAGGGAAAGAAGCAGGTAGCGGCGGAATTTTCGGACGCTGTCACGGAAGAAACAGTGAGGAAGCAGGTGGCTGAGGCCTGGAGCCGCCGGACACCATTCAGCCATGGTAATGAGGTGCTGTGAGGGAGGAGCGGCCGCGTGAGGAGGCGTGGGAAGGACCTTAGCCACCTCCGACTCTGGCTGCTCGGTTCTTTCCAAATTCTGCTTGATTTGACAAGCATGGGGAGGAAAATAAATATAGACCCGGGAGTGTGGGCAAGTAGGAGACATGTAAACTGAGGATTGATTCTAGAATCAGAATCCCTCTGCTGATGATACGTCACTGGGCAATGTATTTAACTTTGCTTAAGCGTCAGTTTCTTTTATAAAACGGAATCGTTAATAGTGTTCCCCTCGGGAAGGTAGGATTGACAAACTAATGTTTGTAGGCATTCACAAATGTTTCCCAGAGAACCAGTAAACATCTAGCAAATGCCGCATGACCAGCACAGATGTTGAAAGCTGCCCGAGAGCTAGTACCTGGAGCTACCACTGTCAGGTGCCTTGTCCCTGGGCTACGTGACGCATGAAACGAAAGTATCTTGAAAGGAACCATCGTTCCAGACTTAGCTACAAGCTATTACCTTATACAGTGTGAATCTGGTGGAAGTGAAATGAATTAGAAGGTTAGAAACCAACCGAGTATATATATATATATAAATGCAGTCACTCCCTCCCCACAGAAAACTTGGGGAAAATAAGGGTAGGATTAAAGAGAAAATGGCCAGCCAGTTTTGCTACTCTCATTTAATTTGCTATTCTTGATTTACTTCTTCCGGAGAAAATGAGTTAATCTAAAATGCATTGATGCAAGAATCAGTAAACTAAAAAAATTTTAAAAAAAGCAAGAGCTTCCATTAGTGATATACTCCCCCCCCTACACACACACACACACACACACACACACACACACACACA